AAGTAGATATGACTAGTTGTGGAAATTTTCATTTTCTTTTGATTTTTTTAATTACATAGGAATCAAAACAGAAACGAGTTGGATTTGTTACAGTTCATACTCCATTTGATATTCTTTTGCTTACTGCTGAAAATATGCGAATGAGATTACCAATAGAGGTCAGTTAAAAAAAATAAAATCTTATAATTATCCTAACTAATAATTTACATAGAAAATTGAAGAGAAGGAAAATGAAAATGAGTTATTAACATCACAAAATAATCAATCAGCTTGGCATCGCTTTACAACATCGTTAAAAAAATCATTTTATCTTGATCCATCATTAAAAAAAAATGATCCAGATTATTATACAGCTATTTATTCGTCAAATATCGATAAATTTAAATATTTATTTGATACATTACGTGGTTCAAAAGATTTATATTTTACATCAACTGAACGCAGTTTATTAACACATGAATTATTATCAAGAGCTCATTTTGATTATGAGGTTGATGATCAAGGTGATAATCAACAAAACGCATTGATAATACGTCCAAGTTAGTTGAATTGTAAATAAATATACTAAATATTTTCTATACTTTGAATTTTAGTTACGGATCCAACAGCTACATTACAGAAAGTTTCAAATCGACCAGGTAAAAATAAATATGATTATTCGAACATTATTTGACTTTTTTTAATAAAATACAAGTATAGCTTAATCATTTTGAAAATAATATTAGTTCTTTCAACATATCCATCACTTTTTCGAAGTAAATATTGCGTATGCAAGACATGCCAGTAACTCATGTGACTTCACATTATTAAGTAGTATATATTTTCTAATATTTCGAAAGTTTGAAATTGAAACCCAAAAGACAATTTCCCACGTCAGCTGAGTCGAATTACAGCTTTTTGTCGAACGATCCAGTAAAATTACAATATCTTAAGGCCGAAGACCAGAAAAACTATACCATTCTAGACTTTTCTATTACTCTATAGCACTTGTCAAATGAACATCGTCTCAGTCAAAAAGAGATTTGACATCTGGAAAATGTCTTTTCGTCAGCTCCTCCTTACCTCCCAGTGAACTTACTACTAATTGCATGTTATTTCATGTCTAAATTCATGAATTTTAGAAGTTCTAAAATTGATTGCAATTGTTAATGATTGTATTTTTCGATGACATGAAATCAAGTTGTTGGAGAATATAAAGAATCATCATGTCTCATTTACATCTACTTGCAATATTCTTACTCATTATTTAGGCATTGATCGACTAATAACGAAAAAAGCATACCAGTGTTATTTTCCTCTGCATGAGGTAAAATATATTTTATTTTCGTATTCATTTATATATTTTCTCACGATGTTATATAAAGAGTCTTCGAGATCATGTAAGACATGTTAATGATAGTGAATTAAATGATCGAGAAGTATGTTCAATTCTTTTTTATAAAACAAAAATCTTCTTATCTATCTATATACTTTATTATAATAGAAATTAAAGAAACATTGGGCAACAATGCGTCAATGCCTTAAATTTCAACCATTATCTTTGATTCGTTCATATATGGGTGAAAAAGTCGCATTTTATTTTGCACTTTGCGGTTTTTATAACCAAATGCTAATTCCAGCTGCATTGATTGGTCTTATTATATTTATCTATGGTATAAGTAGTGTTTTTTCAGACCAACCGACGTAAGTTTATGTCAATTTTGTGTTTATGTATTACTTGAATAAATTGATTTTTCTTTTGTTAATAAAATTAGATCCGATATTTGTGGAGATTTCGGGCATACAACAAATATGTGTCCAAGATGCGATAAAACATGTCCATTTTGGAAACTCAGTGATAGCTGCCTATATTCAAAAGTATGCGACAGATCTTTCATCTGATGAATTTGTTATATTGAATATGATTATGATAGGTTTCATACATATTTGACAATGCAGCTACAGTTATTTTTTCCATATTAATGTCTTTATGGGCAAGGTATAAAAATAGAAGATTTACTTGTTCATATTTGTTTTTCTAAATTTACATGAATAGGTGGTTTATTGAATTTTGGAAACGTCGACAGGCATCATTACAATATGATTGGGTATTTAGATTGTTTTTTTTATAAATGAAGATAATTGATAGCTTTTTTTATCGTGATAGGACTCCATTGGTTTTGAAGAACATCTTGAACCCATACGACCAGCATTTGAAATGAAAGCAAAGAAAAAAGGTGAAAAGCGTACCAATCCTGTTACTGGGGTATTTATTCTGTGTATAGAACTATAACTTCAATTAATAAATATTTATTAAGATAAAGGAACCATATATTCGAACTCGAACACGGATGCCATTCTTTTTTGTTGCAGCTGCTGTTGTTCTCTTTATGGTATTTAAAATTTTAATTTATACAATTGGTTTGATTATCTCTATAATTTAGATGGCTATTGTATGTGCGACTGTTTTTGCAACTATTGCATATCGTTCTCGAATGGATTATATTTTAAAAAAATCAAATGTTAAAATATATTCATCAATCATAATAACTGTAACTAGTGCTATTATGAATCTTATTTGTTCTATTATCTTATCACAATTTTATTATTGGATTGCACGAAAATTAACTGATTTTGGTAATAACCTTTTCTGGTTGTTTTTTTTTTATTGAATAAATATTTTGTTTTACAGAACTTCATAAATATCAATCGGCATATGATGATTCATTGACGATTAAAATATATCTTTTTCAATTTGTCAATTTTTATTCATCATTATTTTATATTGCTTTTTTTAAAGGACGGTAAGTAAATTAAATTAAAAAAAAAATACATGAATTATAAATTCGATTCAGATTTCATAACTATCCATCAACATATGGTGAATCAGATTCGGGAAATTTTACTGAACAGGTTTGAAGTTTTTGCTTTTCTAATGTATAATGATTCACTTACTCTTATCCGTTGTACTTAATTAGTTATTTGTTTTAAAATAAATAACAATAAGAAATACAGAAAAATAATTTCAATATTCTTTTATGATTTAGTGCGATCCAGCAGGTTGTTTAGTCGAACTTTCTATACAATTTTTCATCAGTAAGAAGTTAAATCGATATAAATCATAATAATTTTTCTATGACTTTAGTTATGATTGGGAAACAAATGATAAATAATTTGTTAGAATTCTTTAATGCAATGCGTAGTACGTTAACACGAATATGTTTTAAACGTGGTGAACCTGAGCCACAAAAACAATGGGAAAAAGATAATCAACTATATGATTTTAATTCAAATACGCTTATTGATGAATATTTGGAATTAGGTAAACTTATTCATTTTTATATTTATTTGTATAGAGATATATAAACATAAGTTTTTATGATTTTTATATAGTTATTCAATTTGGATTCGTTACATTATTTGCCATTGCTTTTCCGTATGTCGAATTGATTTCATAAAATCTTTATTTTTAATGTTTTGAAAATAAATTTTAGACTTGCACCATTATTTGCTTTATTAAATAATGTAATTGAGATACGTTTGGATGCATGGAAATTTTTATCTAAATATAAACGACCTATTCCATTTAAAGCATCCGATATTGGTATCTGGAGTGATATTATTTCTGCTATATCATACATTGCTGTTCTAACGAATGTAAGTATTAGTTGTTAAATACACAAAAGTATATAAATATCAATTAATTTAGGCAGTTGTTATTGCTTGGACATCGGAGTTCATTCCAAAAATGGCATATCGTTCAATACAATCAACAGGAGGAAGTCTGAATGGTTATGTTAATTGGACACTATCGTCGTTTAACATTGCTGATTATAATCGTACTAATACAATGCCAGAGGGTGGATCAAATAATTTAACTATTTGTCGGTAAGAAAAAAAAAGAAAAAACTTTATTCTGTTTTTGTATTTATTTTAGAGTCCTTATTATTTTGTTATTTTATTTAGTTATCGTGATTTTCGTGAATCAAATGAATCAAATTATTCTCACACATCAATCTATTGGAATGTGTTAGCTGCTCGTCTTGCATTTATTATTGTTTTTGAACATGTTATCTTTTTTATTATTTATATAATGGAATGGCTTGTACCAGATATACCAAAAAAAATTCAAAATAAGATTGATCATGAACGTTATATTGATCAACGTGAGAGATGGGCAAGTAAACAAACTGAAGATCATTTTAAAGATGCTATCATCTCATCAGAAATTTTATCAAAAATAATAACACCTTCAAATGGAACTGTTAAAGCTCCAGTCAAGAACAATTATGTCTCTTCAAACTATTCACGAGGTCGAAAAAGACAGGTCGGAGTGCAATTACCATTAGATAATGAATATTGAGCTTACATATTTATATATTATGTTCTTGTATTATATTTATGATTTTTTTTAATTTTTATTATATGTTTAAAATGTTCATATTGGCAATATTACAAGTCTAATTATTTATGATATATATTTTATGGTTGATACAAGTTAAATTCTTTATGCAATGAATTTTCGTTTTTTTTTAACACGTTGTGAAATATTAAAAAAAATTGTGAACGTATCTCTACATATTTGAAGAAAATAAATGCCTCACTGATCTCTTTCTAAACGATTGTTCAATCTCGAACTAGAACCACTTTGAAAAAGTTTGTTAGCATAACCCTTTAGGATTGAAATGTAGAACTCGTATATGTTCTTTAGCCTCATTATACTAATACAAAATATGAACAGTGAAAGATCTCTCATAGACTATAGTGGTTTTAAAAAGGAATCGATCACCAAAGGAAAAGATCTATTTCATTTATTTCTGCATTTTGAACAGAAATTTTTTCTCTTATTTTTTAAGGGCGCTCAAGTTTCTGGTTGTCTTGATGCTATATGCTAGTTATTTTTCGTTTTTGTATTTCTTAATTTAACAATTTTATTGTTATGAGAATTACATTAAATAGCAAGCAAGGTCATTGTAAATATCCATTATATCTACAGCAGCTGGTCTTAATGCACTATTATATATCTCAATTAACTCATTAATACTGATAATGATTATTTTTCAACTTGTAACTTGATCAATTTACACTTTTTATATTGATTATATAACAGCTGTGACAAATCAATGTATCATTATCCATCATTGGTGACATCTTGAATATATAATTTTGTCTATGCAAAAATCAAAAACTGTACTGTTTAAAACATTCACAAACGTATTCTACCCAATCAAATTTCGACGAAGGCTCTGGAATTTTCTGAAGTTCTCTAGAACAGTCTAAGTCATCTAAGAAACTCTAGGAGAATAATCTGACGCTGGTTGTTCTCCATTGCTGAAATCTATAATGGCGGGAAGAGGGAGTAAAGTCTACATTTATTATTTTCTTCAAACATAGATGTGAGCTACACAAAAACCTTTTATCACTTCAACGTTTTAAATACCCGATAAATTATCAGTATATCATTAAAATATCAATAGATATTCACTGGTCTATAGAAGCTTCACTTGCTCAATATTTGTGCCGTTCCTTTATGATTTGCATGCTGTCGAGTTCTTTTAGAATTTTAGAATTCGATCTCCACTATCATCATATTCTTTGCAAGTGAACTTTGAAATATTTTGTTCGTCTTAATATGTTGTGCAGAAATGCAGCCTTTGTTTATCATAATCGATATTTACACAATTTATTTTGATTTTTTTAATTTAACTCTAATAAACAAGAAACAAAATATACGCATTGCTATGACTTATACATGATGCAGTGTATTTCTATCTCTATAGGAAAAAACAAATCTGTTTGCTTAACTATTGTTATAATATATTTGGATGGCTGTTTTCTGTCTCAATGTTTCGAATAAATATTCATAGTTAAATTTTATAAGCGAAACTTAGAATATACGAATACTTTATTTCATTTGTAAGATTGAAGCCTTAATTCAGTTGAATTTTTCCAACGCAAGTACGACTCGATGTAACGAAATAGAACTCTGTTGGACAAGGCTTATTTCGAATGTGACAATCTAATTCGTTTATTTATGTTAAATAAGTTATTTTCTTTGAATACAATTGTTAGATAAAAACTGAACGTTTGAATGGATAAATATGTGAAACGTAAAAATCAGTATATTATAAAAAAATACCACTAACTCGATAACTGTTTCAAAACTTGGTATTATTCTGTCCGATGTGTGTAAATCTTTTAAAACTAACGTAGAACGTTGTAACAATATACAAGAGTATCGTAAGATGCAAACGTGACACTATTCAAGCTAAGGTTAAAAACTAGCACAATATTACTTTGTGTTTGAGAAAAAATTACAAAAATATTTATCAACTTTATTGTTAATGTCAAAGCGATAAGAGAAATACGAATTTTAATTTCTTTATGACAGTCATACACGAAACTGGAAATGGAATGAAAAAATTATTGAATTTCATCTCGTCTTTCAATCGCAGTGTATAAAAATGAAAACTTTATTAATGGTCATTGAAAATTATATCTATCATAAAACATATAAATACACAATTATTTCGTCACCTTTACATTGTATGATACTAATAAATATTTTCTTAAATTTCAAGTAAATCCATATTGATATTATTATAGTTCATTAATGTAGTGCAATTGAAGCTAGATGTTTAAGGTTTTAAAATTATTTATAAATATGTTGAAATGAAACTTTATTCAAGTTTCAAAAGGTTACTTCTTTATACTGTATTGAAGAACAACAGATTTCAAAATTGCTTAAAAAATCCTGGAACACCTTGTTTTTTTTTTATTGTATAAGTATACAATATACATCAGCTGACAATACTTGTTTGTTTTGGATCACATATGAATAAAACATAGAAGTGAGTAGAATACCTTACAGAAAATAAAATTAAAATCCTATCTGACAATCCTAAAATCGAATCAATAGACAGATGTTAGGTACGAATCAGTTTTATAGAATTCTCTTTAATGTATACTTCTACTCATTTAATTGTATATTATATTTCAATGTTAGTAAATAAGTGTTAAGTTCTTCTGTGAGTGCTAAAGTACATATAAATCTTGTTACGTCTTTGTATTTTGTGATATCCTTAACTTTATTATAATCAGAATAAGAGTACCAATTGATAGAATGTCAGAATGTTTCTTTATTTACTCTCCATCTTCAAGACAATAATATTAAAGGAAATGGAATTTTATATCAGTCCTTCTATATTATATATTTCATATATATTAGATTTTATTGTGTTTAAAAACAAACATATTCACTGCTGACAGTACAGAATCTAAAAGTTGTCAATGAAAATTTTACAAAGTTAATTAAAATATCAAACAATTCATCATCTGAATGAAAAATATCTTTGAGTAGTAAAAATAAAATTTTTATCTTTGTCGTTATACATCTATTATATATCTATTTTCAGGTGTATAGTATGTTATCGTTTTACCTAGTACAAATCTCATTTCATCAACCAATCGACACCAATTTGATGTAAGTGTTCCAACATGTAGATCGGCATTAGCTTCAATATAAAGATCAGTCAGAAATTCTAATATAATTTTAGTGCGCTGTTCCACTGGCATACTGATTAATGTCGGATAAGTAACATCTCTTGTAACATTAATACTTAATAATTTGTAATATCCTTTTTTATTTTTGTTTATTTCATCAAATTCAGTAAATATGTTTCGATCTTCTGAATTAATATAAACATTTTTTATTTTAGCTTGACGAGCATCAGCATCGAATAAATCAAAATATTGTTGAAGAGGATAAGATTGTGACATTTCTCGACCACTTACTTTATCCGATCGACGTACATAAACAGCAATATATGGACGATGCAGATCAACTGAAGGTGGATTAAAATATTTAGCTAATGTGCGTTGTACATGAGTTAATGTTTCAGGATTATATCGCATTAAATAGAATAACAATTGTGAACGATACCAATTGAAAGATCGATTTTGAAAAACAGGTGGATGTATAGGTTCGAACCAATGATCATTATTAGCTTGAATACGAATTGTTCGGTTATTATCAACTGTAGAAGGAATAGAACAGTTACTAATTGGACGAAAGACACAATCAGGTGTGCCCAAATTACAATTACCATGTAACTAAAGTGTAAAACTTATTATATGAAAAAGTTGATATTAGTTATTGAAGTGAAAACTATTGATTACAAGTTAATAACAAGATTACCATCGATTGCATTCTATAGTTCATTCTTATGTTTATATGATGAATAAGTATTAGAAGAAAATTACTATCAACTACTAAGTGGACATTAGTAGTTATTGAAAAAAAAACAATCAAATTTAAAAGGATTAGATCATACTCTGATGTACATTATCAATTGCTTGTACTCTATTATTATTATTATTATTCAACTAATATAGACCTTACAGTTATCGAATCATGAATTCAAGTGAAAGAGTGATCATCTGTCGTGTATAATTCTCATCTCTTTATCGTTGATAGACTAAGACGATGATTTCCGTACATCCAACTGTAACAAAACGAAACGAAGTAATAATCGATAGGTGAATAGTTTCAATGATGTTAGAATCATTTTTACTGAAATATATATTCTTATTATGTCACAAAATCCTTTTCTTTCAGAAACAAGATATAATTTAATCAATTTCAAATCAAATTTAATCGAATTTGATATTGTCTTACCCAATTTCCTGGTGTTTCATAAATGGCAATTCTATCTTCAGCTAATGCTCTACCGAATGCCCATACAATTTGGTGTATAGTTGAACCAAAACCAGACCCGGCAAACGAATGTATTCTAGCAAATTTTTTATTGGTACAATCGACTGGATGCTGATATTCATAAAGCCATTGTTGTGCATGTAGTGTTGCTTCTACTGAGAATTCATTTATAATTGATTGATCACAAGAATTCATTTTTTCACGGTTCGGGCCGTTGGTATATTCAACAGTGCGGCATGGCAAAAGACGAGCTATACGATAATGTTTGTCATCAGCAAGGCGCATGGACCAAAGATGAGTTTTATTATATGCAAAAGAAAACGATTTAAAATCTTCTTTGTCGATCGTTTGTAAATTTTGGTTTAATTTTCTAGTTGTTGATAGCGAACCGTATATAACATATGTTTCTTTTTTTGTTCCGAACAAAGTTGAACCAATAAGAACACCAGTAATAAAAATAATAACAGCTCCCACTAAAAGCATAGAAACTCGAACGATTTTTGGTACCATGATTAAATTACTTCAAAGATTTCAACGTAGACAAAAATAATTAAAATGGTGTTGCTTTGAATATACAAGACATTTTACACTGGAAAACTCAACATCGAATATTGTATCGATTTGAATAAATTTGCTAATCTATTATTTTCAGTGTTTTGATTGATGGTAGTTAAACGATCGGTTAAGTTTCATTATCTATTAAATGCATCAATTCTATGTTAAAAATAAAAATAAGTTACCAAACAAGCATTTTCAATCATTAGAAATATTTTTTTCTACTATAAATACGAATTTGAAAAATTATTATTAAGAGGTCACTATCTGTATGAGCAGCTTTGTCAAATAATAGAGTTTCTCAAAATAAAATAAAAATGAATAATTATTTAGACATATCTTTTCTATAGAATAAAAATGAAAAGAAAACAAAGGATTAATGACATTAAGATCACTTTTGAAAATAAAGTATTTTCAAGAAATAACTAGCATGGTTCCTATCTCTCAATTAGTTCGAATGAAGAAAAGATAAAAACATATCATTAATAAGGCATGTTAAAAGTTTCAAAGTTAACTTTATGTCTCTGAATAAATATTATTGTTAATACACGGAAATGTATGATATTGCTATTCATATATGAAATGGCCATTATGATTTCGTTTAGGTTTGTCAAAACTTTCAATAATTTCGAAAATGTTTCGTTGTTAATTTCAAAGTAACGAATCCTAATTGAATTAATTGAAATGTGTAAGCTTGTAAAGAAGTGAAAGATGCATCTTTATCTTTTAATCCTATCAAAATATATGCAACACACTGAGAGGTCCATTATTCATGGATCGCGCGTTACTATATCTCAACTTTTTCTTAAAATTGAAATTCAATTATGTTCATATTGAGTTTTTAGCTTAAAATAAATAACAAGATGTGACGATTGAAACTATCATTTTTAGGTAATTTATTTAGAATTTTCACTTTTTTTTATTGTTTCACATTGTTATGAAGTACAATTTTATGGAACATAATTAACTTTTTTTTGATAATGAATTGCAATTCTTCAGCGTAACTCATCTAGTAAATTAACAAAAAAAAGTCGTAGCTGGCACATGTAAGAAAAATCTATAGCATATGGTAACTCAAATGAATAAATGAAGAGTTTTTTGAAACAGTTTTGAGATCGATAGTATAAATGAATTTTTATCGATCCATCCGACTAAAAACATATCCAAGACGTCAGTTTTTTTAAAATGAGATGGAAAAGAACCATTGTCTATTATTGATGATTTGTAATTATCAAACTATAAATTGATATTAATAGTTTGAGACGTTTCTTTACACTATTTAATAATATTTAATTCATAAAAGTGTTAACTATTTGTTTTTGCTATTCCTTATGTGGACAATCTTACTTTAATAATAATAAATATAGATTCTGTATTTATGTGCTATTTCTTGTCTTGTTCATAATGTCAAATTTTTCTCTGACTATCGTATATTACTACTAATACTTTTTCATTCAGTTTTTCAAAGAAAAGTCTTATGTCTTAATGCCGATAGCATAATAAAAAATTGCCTTAAATTTTTCTAAGTTTGGTTGTTTTTCAGTTAGATTCTTTGCTCATGAACATGTAAAATAACTTAGAAGAAGTATAGAAATAAGAAAAAATTTTTCAAATTGATTAAATTTTGAGTAACTAAAATATCACAAGAGATACATCTATGACAAGAAGGACTGAATGTAATACCTAGCAATGTCTGTCACTCTTTCTTTTAATAACAATGAAAAATAACATTGATTACTTTTCAAAAGAGACAAAAAAAAGGAAAGAAAAATGGGTTAGCGTGACAAAAAATATACGATGAAATAACATTGTTTTTATAAGATCCTTAAGCTGAAATCGACTCAGTAGTTTGAAAATGGTGGGCATACAACTCGAAACAAATAATCAATCATTAAAAATATAATATTCTGATTTAAATCTATCGTAATTCTTCTAAATAAAAAGTAAAAATATATCTAAAATCTACACTTTTCCTGACATCTAATCTACAATAGATTTGTTCAAATATAGATTCTATCGATACATTAATTAAGATTGAAATAAATTTTTGTTTCTCTCGTATTTTCCTTTACTTCTTTTGAAAAAACTGGAATAAATTTTCGAAGGTAGTATTTTGATAATAATAGAGGTATATAGCAAGAATGCGGCTACATGAAAAAGCAAGTTTTAAATATAAAAATGAAATATAATTACTAAAGATAAAAAAAAAAACTTGTCTCCTACTTTTCACTATGATTACTCAATTAGAAACATGTACTGTCAACAAACCATAGCCATTATCATATGATTTCTTTGAAATTTGTTGTACAGGGCACTACTAAGACAATACAAACATACACTCATAAATAAAATAAAATCCACGAGCAAGCTTTTTGGAAATATGAAATAGAAAGGAGATTAAAAAAAAAAAGAAGTGCAAAACAGAATCAAATTATGGGAGTACAACGTGTTGAAAAAATTAAAACCTAAGTAACTGTAAATGTACGCGCGTGTTTAATGAATTTCTCTCGTAGCTACGACATCGTCAATTTTTACTTGCACAAAAAGAAAAGAAAAGAAAAGTTGGCGATTCGCATTAGGTTTCACTTTCTTTTATTTCTATGTGTCTGAACGAATGAAAGAATACAAAAAAAATTCTAAAATTGATAGTAATTGGCATAAAACATTTGCTACATCAAACATGATTGAATATTTATAAATAAATACACGCAGACACATACGGAAAATTTTCCTCGTGTATTTGATATCATCTATTATAATATTAAACAAATTGAAGACGAAATGCAATGTTTCTTAGATTGTTCTTTAAAACTTTCATCAAAATAAATTTTTTTAAAATGCATAACTCTCAAAAAAACTTGAAAGAAAACAAAAAAGTTCTGTTTTTGATGTAGTTAAAACAAGGGGGAAAAAGCAAATTGTGAGTTTGTGATTTAAAATGAGTTTATGTGAGTTTTGTGATTTAAAATGAGTTTACTTGAGTTTTATGATTGAAAATGAGTTTATCTGAGTTATATGATATAAAATGAGTTTATGTGAGTTTTCTGAGTTAAAATGAGTTTTTGTGATTTAAAATGAGTTTAAAGTCGATTTAAATCAGCTTTAAACTCAGAAAACTCACATAAACTTATTTTAAATCATATAACTCAGATAAACTCATTTTCAATCATAAAACTCAAGTAAACTCATTTTAAATCACAAAACTCGCATAAACTCATTTTAAATCATAAACTTACGGCTTCCTATTTTTCGATTTATAGTGAGTTACAATTGACTTAAAGTAATTTTTGTGATTTAAAATGAGTTAAAATGATTTTCGTGATTTAAAATGAGTTTACTTGATTTTTGTGATTTCAAATGAGTTTCAGCTGATTTAACTCACGCTTTTTCCCTCTTGGTGTACGTAATGTATTTTGTCATCTGTTTACAATATGCAAATCTCGGTATGGTTTCTAGTTAAATAACGTGAAATTTATATAATATAAAGCTTTATATGAAGTTTAAGGTAATCGATGCAAGAGTTGAAAAGATTGGTGAACGATTTTAAACTATTGTTACAGTCAACTTGACCTAGCAAATAAAATCGTATTGCAAAATTAAGTTAATTAAACTATTTTCAAGATATTTTGTTGATCGTTTTTTCAAGTTGTTGACATAATCCAGACGATTCTAGTTTTATGTACTAGTATATGCTTTAGTTTATGTCTATATTGTTATGTATTGAATGCTATTTTCAACATCAGTTGGATTTAGTACCAAGTAAGATACAATTTTCTTTTTTCACTTTTACTATTTGATTTGAACAAAATATTTAAAGAACATTGTTGTAACTCTGAGTTGTACAGTAACTTTATCCGAAAAGATAATCAATAGAACATGTAGATAGAATGGTATTTCTTTACAATTGTTAAATAAATTTCATTAATAACAATAATCATCAACGGTTCATGTTGAATGGAACTTACAGTATTCTAACTATGTTCAATAATGAGAAAGTGGCAAGATCAATGAATATGTATGCATAAATACGAAATAAAAAAAAAACAAAAAAAATTAGCTGTAACAATGCAAGAAACAATCGTGTTTCTTTTTTTTTGAATTGTTTTGAGTTATTGTTATAAACTTTATTCTTGAAAACCAAATCATTGTTTCATCACACTTACATGTATATATATTTTTAAATCAAAAGAAAAAATACAAAGTGGTAATTAAAACTCATAGAAGAAAATTGAATAATATTCATCAATAAGTGCATGATAGTATGAGATCGTCTAAAAGAAATTCCTGACGATGATTGTGAAACATTACTTGTTATAGTTGATGATATTGTATTACCACATACATTTGACGCATTACAATTAAAACTAGCACATTCAAAATTATACGTCGCCGTACATGCTACACCAAGAGCTTTGAGTGGTTGGCATGTCACTGTTGATTGATCAAGATAATATCCACTTGAATCACATTCACATATATTTGATACACATTTAACTGATGTTGCTGAATTTATACAGTCTGTTGAAGTTGTACATGATTGTCCAAGTGTACGTAAATTAGCACATATTTGCGTACCATTGGATAATGTTGACCAATATTGTGTACTATTACATGTACATACGGATGAAGTACATACAAGACCAAGAGTTGTATCACAAAGAACTGTTGCACTACATGTACCACCATATGATATACGAGATACACAATTAGGAGCCACATAATAAGTCGTAGATGTACATAAGCATAGAGATGTAGTACATATCATATTTGTTGGACATTGAATTGATGATATACATGCTTGTCCAAATGTTAATAGAGCAACGCAATTACCTGTCGTTGTATCAAAATAATATGAACTTAAACAAGTACATATTCCTGATGAACAATAAGCATTTGTTACGCATTGAGATGATGTTGTACATGAAAAACCAATAGATGTATATGTAACACAACTTGAACCATTATAGTAAGCTGTTGATAAACAAGTACATTGTGTACCTATACAAACAAGTGAACGTGTTATTGAATTACAAAATGGCCCATATGTTGCAGCAGCACACGTTTGACCATATGTTGCATAAAGAGTACAACTTGTACCATCATAATAATAATATGTTGAATCACATGAACATGTACCTGTTGCTGATGTTGTTAAATCATAACATGATGTATTATTAAGACATTGATAATTTCCTAAAGTACATGTTGATGAATAAGCTAATTGAGGTTGACATTGTCCTGTTAAACTTGAATAATAATAATTTGTATTACATTGACATATGGAGGATGTACATGAAGAAGAATTAATACATTGAGATGATGATGTACATGTTTGACCTGGATAAAGTAGAGCAATACAATATGAACCATTCCAATAATTTATTGAACTACATTGACAGGTTGATGTAGATGCCGAACAACTGAGACCTATTTTAAAGTAAATCATGTTTTAAATTGAATTTTCAAATTGATGGTTTTGTTTTCATTAATCTTACATAAGAAAGAATTCAAGCATATGATTTTATGTCATTTTCTGTTCTTTACTTATACTAATATTTATGCTTGAATATAAACTTGTCGTAAAATTATTACCTTGAATTGAATAATAGAACAAGAAAATTTGAAATATTTTCTTACCATAACGTGTTTCACATGGTCTTCCTCCCGTATTACATGCATCACCATAAGTTCCTAATGAAATACAAGTTTGATTTGATGATAAATAATATTGTGTAGTTAAACATAAACATTGAAAACTAACACCAGCCACTGTTGGATCATCAAGACAAAGAAGATTATTAATACATTGAGAAGTTGATGTACATGTTGTACTGTATGTTAATTGTGTTACACAAGTTCCTGTTGTTGTATCATAATATAAACCAGAATTACATTCACATTGATTTGAAAATGGTGATACCGATGTACAATTAGCATTACTAATACATTCATAACCTAGTGTACATGTTTGTCCTATAAATTGGTCACGAACACATTGATATTCTGTTGTATCAAAATAATGATCTGTTGCACATTGACAGGTTGTTGTTGAACAATTAGCTGTTCGTACACATTGTGAATTTGTTGAACATGGTTCATTAGCATATCCTAGACGTTTACATGTGTTGGAACCAGAATCATAATATGATGTTTGATTACAATCACATAAACTAACTTTACATACAAACGGTGCTTGGCATTGATCATCATTAGCACATGGAACATAACGAGCTAAAAGTGCTGTACATACGCCAGTATTCTGTATTAAATTACAAGAGAAATATTAAAAAAAATTATATTTGAAAAATGATTAATAACTGACTTGATCAAGAAAATAATTCGTATCACAAATACAATAACCATTTGATGCACAATAAGCATTTGTAATACATTGTTGATTTGTATTACTTGTTGAACAAGTCATACCAACATGAAGATAAGCACTGCAAGCTGATATTGAATAATCATAATAATAACCGGAATCACATTCACAACGATTATTAATACATTGAGAATTTGCTGGACAATTATTACTTGTACAACGAGAATTTATTGATGGTGTTCGAAGTCCTAATCCAAGACCCAATCCCAATGCTAAACCTAATAAACTAAGTAAACCTAAAGCTAATAAAAGCCAAACCCACCAAGGAAAACGAAAATAAGGACATCGACCTGCTTCATTTAAATAAACATTATCGGTTTCAACATAATTTATATCTGTACTTCGATTGTCAATAACATTATTAGTTGTTTTTCGGACGATTGTTTTATTTTCATTACGAATTACATTATTATTACGACTTTGAATGATGCGCACATCATCTATATCATCATCATAAGTTTGAATTGGTAAAGGAGGATTTCGATTAGACAATGCATAAAGGCGACGCATTTTCGAAAGTGTATGAAAAATAATCTTATAGCAGAATAGTTCATTAATTTAAACGAAAGAAAATGATGGTGAAGAACCCCTACTGGGATTGTTATAGTGATGATAACACAGTAGGGAATAAAAACAATCTCGTGTTTTTGACATACTCAGTGGGCGATGAATAGCACTACGATAAAAATAAATGGAGATATTTTCTCTTCAGATCGTTCGAACGAGTTGATTTTTTGTTTAATGGTAGAAACTTATTTAAAGTGTTTTTTTTCATAGAGATAAGGTCGTCATATACTACTGTCAAGTTTTATTTTTAGTCTCACTAAAGAAATTTCATCTATTGTCGAATAAGAAAAATACCTATGAGGCATTTCATGGATAGTTGTTAGTTGTCACCCAAGAGAATAAGAAGAAATCAAAACGAACTATATTGATGCATACCGAACAAGTTTTCAAAACTAATGTCGACGTTAGAATTGAAGAGGAATCGATATAACCTTAATAACTCGGCAACGGTAACAGTTAGCAAGCTGTGATTTTCAGAAATAGGAAAAGCACCACTCCAGGTGCGTTATTTAGTCTGATTCTATATAATATAAAATTATGTTACAATTCATTATCTTCGTAAAGCATTAACCAAAACGCAAAAAATGATGTTTCGCTCCAAAAGAATTTTGATAAAATGTCAGGAAATTTCATAAAAATCAAACAGAATTCTATATAATTTGAACGATTAGATACGGAGTGTTATTTGCCCAATATTGGCGTATGACAATATAATCAGCTGTATCGTGTCTTAACTTATAGATCAGAAGCCTCTCTACCTGAAGAACATATCAATATCAAAATTAAGTCAAAGTGAAACACCATTTTCAGCATTTTTTCAAAGGTTTGTCTAAAATTATAGGAATTCAAATGATTCTGTCTTATATGGTATCAGATAACAAAATGTCATATGTTCTTCTCTTTGTGTTGCTGAAAGTCGTAGATCACTAATTGCTGCCGTTGTCCAGTTATTGAGCTCATAGCACCTACTCCTTCTACATTCTTGGGCTGATACTGATTAACTCAGTTGTCGAAATCTGAACCCCATGAGTAAACCGCACCATTGCAGCTCTTTGAATATCAACTTCCTTACAAAATCACTGTTTCATGTTTGAAAAGTCGCCCTTCTGAAACTGTTGGCTTTAGACTAACTAGTTCTAAAAGCTTACTCTAGATTCATCACTATAAGATTATTTTATTTTTAATTCAGCTTTATTATCATTTTTCTTTTATAAGACAATTCAAAGTTATCCATGAATTGTTGCACTTGTATTTTTCTTATTTGATAGCGAAAGTAATTGCTTTTGTGAAACCAACAAGAATATATAATAGTAATCAGTAATCGGAAAGTTTTTAGACAATATCTTTGTTCACTTTTGGCGTATTTTCGATGAGCAAAAAGATACTAGATAGGACCCATATTTTGGGTTATTTTCGAATATGTGCTTAGAAATTGTGTCTCAATTTTTGTTCTAGAGTAATGAAATAATCTTACAAAATATCAACAAATTAGTTTGGACAGAACCTACTGACTGAAGTCGCCGGTGTAGATGTGTGTTGATTCTGACTTGCTTGTAAGCATTTCAACTGAGCTAAAAACTAGAAATCTCGATAAGAACTTGAACATGAGCTAAGAAATGTAGTGTAAGTATTTGTTCAAATAGTTACTCAGTAGGTTTTCGTTTATCCTATAAGCCTCTTTTCGAACATACGAATAATTGTTGGAGTTAGTCGTTTTGTAGAGTGAACACTTCTCTACAAAATGTCACCTTGAACTAAACTATAACTTTTACCTAAGCAATATTACAACAAGAAAAAAAGCGAGATTTCAGTACTATGATGTACAAGTGAACTACAAATGAAATACGAATCACTCTAGTTCAATGTACTTCACTTGTACTTGGGAGTACTGAAATCTCACTTTTCCTTCATTGGACTACAAAACATTCTTTCAAGAGCTTCTTTCAACGTAAAATAATTGTCGATTTTTCAAAAATGAATATATAGGAAGGACGCCAATTGATGTGCCTTGTTGAAAGTCAAAAAAGATATTCAACCAGTGCATTTTGTAGAGTAGCCTCTGGCCTACAAACTGATATATAAATAAAAATTCCAACTTTTAGTTTCAAATCGCAACAGTGAAAATACAAAAATTTTCTGTTCAAAATTATCTTTTGGGCTTTTCAAAAATTATTTCACTACTTTCGTACAAAGAATAAGACAAAAATTTCTAAGGACATATTCAAAAAGAACATAAAATTATGATACTAAGTCATCAGAAATACTTTCTAATGAGTCAAAAGTGAACATATTGTTCGAAATCATTTTGATCACTCGTTTTTATTGGCCTACTTATCTGAATGAAAAACAAACGTTGAATTAAACTTTTATCACTAGCCAAAAAAACTGTCTCATATGATTGAACCGACGCCGAAATATTTCATTTTCTGCTAGTAATTTTATTTATGATTCATCTTGTACTTACAATTAATGTAGAAACAAAAATACGAAAATTTGATATTTAATAGAGAATAAATAGAAATAAAAAATAAAATTTACATGAGAAATTTTTTATTGTCAAACAAAATATCTTATTTTATTTTAGAGCAACGTTTTGCTTTTCTCTTTATTTATTGTTTTCGTTTTTTGTGCTCAGTGAGAAAAAAGAACACTTTTTTTTTTTTACAACGTTGAAGTGGTCAAGGGGAAAGATACAGAGAAGAGAAAAATTTTTAAAAAACTGATGAATAAATGTTTGATAGATTCTTTTCGTTGTTCTAACATCCGGGTAATGTTGCTTGAAAATGTTCATCATTTGCTTGTACTAATTTATGTCGAACAAGAAATGAAGCAATACAATCAGCAACTTGTTCAGGTGCATCTTCATGTACAGCATGACCACTTTTAGGAACAACATGCATTTGAAATTTACCTTGCATCTGACCAACAGTTAAATCACGATCAAGACGATCAACACCAGCTAATAAAAGTAACTTCGGACATTCACATGATAAAAATAATTTTGATAAACCTATGAGAATGAAAAAAAACCAAGATATTTTTACGAACGAATAAATAATTCTACCAACCCGAAAACCATCCTTCCCAAAATTTTTCTGTTTTTGAAAGATCAATTCTCCATGTATATTTATTTGTGTCATTTGAATTATTTGTTGAAGTTGGCTGTTGAAAGGTACCAGAAGATTTATGATCACCATCATTTTCTTCCTCTTCATCTTCTTCTCGAACAGTTTCACATAAATGAGAAACAGCCGGAAATGTAGGATTTGATACTATAGTAGAAGAAGAATCTGTTTCGTTCGATTGAGTAGTAATCATTGGTTGAATTTGTCCGATAACAGAAACACGAGCTGATTCAATATTACGTACTTGACCACTTCGTACGATATATTCTATCGCTTTTTGTGGAGTAGAAAACTGTTTTGGTCTTGAACTAAGAAAACATTGCATTGAGCTTAAAGATTCAAGTGCACTGCCTATAAATATAAATTATAAAAATATTCTTCAAAACCAAAACTAAATTTTCTCTAGGACGCTGCATAGAGTTAAGTAAATATTTTTTTTTGAAAATTCAGTTTTAACATATGAACTGTTTCGAATATCTAGACACGAAGCAAAGTCGGAATCAAATTCAATTCTGACTTTCTTTGATGTTTATAGACCTTAATAAGATGTCGTTGAAGTCTCTACAATATATCAGCTTGTACACTTAATGTTGGAAAACAAAACCTGCTATTTAAAAAAAAATTCATTTGTTAATACTGAATTTTTGTTACAATACTTAATTGACTCTGTACAAGGATCTAGTTTTTTCACCTTCTACAACATCAATAACACAAAGAGCATCAATCATTGATGGACATTCTTTTGCTACATGAACAGCTAGTGCACCACCTATAAATAAATATCTAATCAAATTCTTTAATACTTTTCATTTTTTATATACCCATTGAATGTCCAATAAGGAAAATCGGAGGTTTATTGTCTTCATTAAATAAATGACGTAAAATTTGACAAATATCATTTGTAAGGGTTTCAATACTTAAATCATTGTCATCTGTAGTTTTTGTTTCACCATGACCACGAATATCTATAGCAATACATTGACATTGTACAAGATTTGTTACTGCTTTTGACATAAGAGCCCAACTTAAACCCGAAAAACCGCCACCATGTAAGAAAAATAAAACAGGTGAGGATAAATCATTTGTATTACGTGAATATAAACAAAAAATATTTTTATCTATTGTTATATAACGTTTATCATTAAAATATGTGTTCCATTCAATAGGTGTATAATTACGAATAGACGATGCTTTTTTTTGATTATCTGATGATAACTTCTTAGATGATGATGGACCAATAGGTGGAAGTGTTTTAGAAAAAATTTGTTTGCGTAAATTTGACATCTGGAATAAAAAAATACTATAAGGATTAATTGCTTTGTTTTTCTATTCGATTTAGTTAACAAAAGAAGTTCTCCAATTGTTCAGTTGCTTGTAAATCAGGACTATGTGCAGTATTTAGATCCAAATGAGCTATGAATTTTCTGAAACAAAAAAAATTGTGTTCTTAAATTATTGCTATTGAGATACTGTACTTTTACGTTATATTTTCATTTGATCTGTGGTCTGGTGCAACGGATTGGTGTCGTATCACGCATTTATTTCTAACCTACACTTTGTATATACACAAAATCAAGGCATTAAGATTCTAATTAATTCTGAACTCAAAAACACTAATTAAGAAGAGTACTGAAGGATTTTGGGTGTGATGATTAAAAAGCATATAGATGTCGCTAATTTGCAATTTTTCATGAACGAGGCTCGTTATGACCACCTTGTGTGCAATGGCTATATTCCTAGGGATTATCCTTTCTCTCCTATCTTCTATTGAAATAAATGTTGATCTTCAAGAAGTCTTTGCATTTTTGTCGGTTATTATACATTACTAATTGATTATGTTCTGATAAACTTTACTTTTCTGAAAACTAATTAAGATACAATATTAATAATTAAAATCGATTTGTAGTGCTTGACCTGAGGAACACTATAATTTATTCTTTGCTATCCTTTGACAACAATTTTAAAATGTTCAAATAGAATACAAAGACTATAAATTATTAAATCTATTGCGCTTCTCTAACTGTTTTTTTTTTCCGTAATGAATCGAAAAACTTAGTTTTTTTGCAATAGTAGGACTCAGGCTTCTTGTATTGTTAAACGAGGTGAAAGAGATGATGAATGAGGAAATAAAGAAGAAAAATAGAAATGCATTTTCTTTATTATTTTTTTCCAAAATCAACGGTCTATTCACTTGTTAATGCAAACCAATGTTTTTGTTGATTTACACCTATGTTACATCAATGGTTTGATGCAAGAAATATCGAAATCGAAAATCTACCCAAATATCAATCTATTTCGAAATTAACATTCAAACATTGGAATAAATTAATTCATACAATTCTAGTAACAAATCCTAGCATTCTTGAAGATTTCTTACAACACAAATTATCGATCCTATACCTTTGTGAATATCTTTCTAATCCAACATGAGCTACTCAAAAGAAGAAAAATATTTGGCAGAGGAAGAATCCGTAAAAATATTCGTAAAATGCTATCCGAAGATCGTCCATCTCTGTTCGATCCTTTCTCGTCAACTTGTCTTTATAAAATGTTGTATCAAGTTGGTTTTCTTTTTTACTGCTACAGGAGCGATGTTCGCTCATAGCTTAAATAAAAGCATTACTATATATTTTACGTTATATTTTAAATGAACGCTGTGATAACAGGAAATTATCGCTGTTTCTATCATAAGATAGAACTATGATAATAGCATATATTTTACACCGCTCATATAAACCAGCTGATTTGATGTTTTTATTTGAGAATAAAAGTAAATCAAAAGATCCTAAACTTTCACAATATACTACTCTTGCTAAAACCTGTCACTGTATAAAACTTCAAATCAAAGTTCGAAAATCAGCTTTTCTGGTGTCCTGGGGGGTGAGGGCTATGGCATTTATTTTAAAAAATGCAGTAAAAGTGCAGTATTTCAGTAACAATAAGCTAAAGGCCCGAATTTTTTCACGGTACTCATAGATCATTCGGATCTACATTATGCACACAGTATTGACTAAACAGTGACTACACAGGTGGAGAACTATCCTCATAAATTATTATAATTATTCTCTTTTATTTCTTTTGTGGTTTTGTTTTCCTTCCCTCTTTCACTTTGGTTTATACTATCAACGACACAATTCTTATGAATTGTATTTTTCATAGGTACTTACATCAATGCTCAATCGAAAACAGAAACACAAGATTCTCAGAAGATTTCTTTATCTGTAGGACTTTGTAGAGATCATTGCACCAATCATTCTGGTTGAAAACAATATTCAAAATTACTCAAAAAACTGCGGCTACTTTTGACTACTGCTGAACGGTAGGTGATATATTCGAGTATCTTGACTCTACAATGACGATTTAACAAGTAAATTTCAATATCTTTCTTTTACAAAAATGATCAGTGCAGTAAGCTCTACAAAGTTCTACAGACGAAAAAAAAAAGATCTTCCGAGAACCTTGTTTTTTTTTTACAGTTAACTATTTATAGAAGTATCCATGAAAAATACAATTCACAAGCGTTTTGTTGTTGGTAAATACGTTTTATCGAAAACTAAAAGAAACAATATTTTTTGCTATTGATCACATATGCATTTTTTAAACAAAAGTCAACTATAGATCATGGAATAATGAATGATAACACAGATATCAACATGAAAGAAGATCAAAAATAATAACACGAAATAACAATAAAACAAAAAAGCGAAGATAAATGGAAAGAAAATGTTAATGAAACCAAGAAGGGAAAAAAAACATATAAATGACTTTTAAAAGAATGAAGCTAGAATAAATATAAATTTGTTCACGTTCAATCATCATTCTCATCTACAAGATAACCTTGATCTTCTAATCCAGCACCAATGATTTTAGCATGAAGTTCTTGTAGGTCTTCAGTTAATGGTTCTTGATCATCCACTTTTGGTAAAATATCAGCAGATAATTGAGAATAAAGGAGTTCAACATCAGTTGGTTTAAGTTGAGAATGTAACTGTGTAATATCATTATTTTCAAAACGATTAACAGGTTCTCTTGTCCATGTATCATTGTTCGTATTATAATTTGATTGACATAAATCATGCGAACCTAAACGAGCATGTAGTTCTTCTGTATCAGTCATATTTGAATAATCGGGTTGTGAGTCTGGAATATTATTGAAATTACTTGGACGATTTACTCCTGTTTCTGGTTGATTAATAACAACCTTTTTACGAGCAGTTGCAGATTGATCAGGTTTTAAGTTTTGTCTATTAGAATACAAATGATATTTCATAGTTATTTATTAAAAATTATTTCACTTTTCGTACCGATTAAAAAAGAATTGTGATAATGAATTGAATCCAGTTCGTTGCTGAGTTGTTTCCCATTCAGCCAATTCAGCATCCTTAGGTTTAATTAATCTAGTAACATTTTCCAAGAAATTACTGACTAAAATTAATAATCGTTGTGGTAAAACAAGTAAAAATCGTTGTTGTTGCATTTTAGTAAGTAAAAAATCATTAGTTTGTTTAGTTTTTAGTAAACAGGTTACAACCAACATTCTAAACCATAATAAAGATGGTTGAACCGATTCACATGCATGATGAAATAATGAACCAACAGTTGAAGACATGCATTCACTTAAACTACTTCTTTTACCAGTATTACGACGGTCCACTAGAAACATTACAAAGAGACATTTAAAAAAGCTGTTAGCATAATTACTGTCAGACTAAAATGTGAAAAACAATGTAGATGTTGTTACTAATCAGAAGATATTATTTTATTCTGTCTATCTAGCGACATATCTCTTCACCCTTCTTTTACTGAATCCTTTAGAAATACAATAAGAAAATAGTTCATATATTGTAACAAGCCGTTACTGATGATCATAACCCAAAAAGCTATGTCATAGTATATGATAATCTCCGACTAGCACCTGTCCTCATCGGTGACAGTCTGTAGCTGACGTTTGTCTGAGTCTATAGGGAGATAGGGCGTTCTAAATTTTTGTCCAATATACTTCAACAATGTTTTTCGATCGTGTTTCACAAAAAAAAAAATTCTTATTATTATTTACGTACTTCCAGGTACATTTGCTTCACAATATGAGAATACAGAATCCGCTACATTAGATGCTTTATTGACGGTAGCTGTTGCTACATTAGAAACCTAAGCACCAGAAAAAAAAATAATAAAAAGAAAATCGAAAAAAATGAAATTTTTTTACAGTGTCTTTGCCATGTTGAATGGTTGATGTTGTTGTATCCTTAACTGAATTCATTACATTGAAAACTGGTTTTGTTTTTATGTTGAATGTATTCACAACGTTTTCAGTTGGTGTATTAATCATAGGGTATTTTGTTTCAATTTGACGAATTGTTTGAGCAGCATAATTGTCAATTACACGTACTATATTATTAGAATGTATATAGAAAGATTTATAAAAAAAAAGAATTCTTTACTAATTTACCAGGTTCAGATAATGATTTAACAACGGGATTAGCAACTGTAAGAGCAATTTTTAATGTTTTATCAGCAATTGTCTCAGCTAAATTACATGGAAGCCGAATAAGTACACTTGCATCTTTAGCTTTGGCATAAACATCATGAAGTTTATTAGTTGATGAGCGAACAACTTTAAAAATGAAATGATAAAAAACATATTCAAATCAAAATTTTATATTTTCTTACGTGGTATATCATGAAGACATGAGAGAGTTTGAAAATTAAGCATCATTCAAACGAATAATAAAAAAAATATCAGTCTAGAAAAGTTGTAATGATATGCACAGATTATTATGAAAAAAGAATATGCGCTTGCTTCTCTTTTTATATAAGCAACGAGATACATATGTATGTGTGTAAAATGGCTAACAAAGAAGTTCGATAAGAACAATTAAGATAAGAACCGATAAAAGTTGGACTATAGTCAAGGTGAAAATACCGACGATCAAAGAGTAAAGATTAGATGATTCAGAGGTGAAAAAATATCAACTACAAACAGATGTTTTCTACTAGAAAGTTCTTGCCATTATAAAGTGAAATATAATGAAATCGATGATGTATTTACATAAATAACCTTTTCGTACTTTTCATTGGGTATAATACGTTAACGAACAAAAGGATAATAGTCAAAGAAAGAAAAGAAAAGGATTGTGATCAAAAGGCTATACAGTTTGAAATATATTTATATGTAACAATTATACCTCTATGATTTTTTTTTCTCCTCTCGCATGCTAGTAATTTAGTAAACAATGTACACAGCAACTTACTGCATGCTTTTCAAAGTCTATTCGACGCTATTATTATTTTACAAATACACGAGAGAAAAAAACGTCTCTATTCTTTTATTTTATACAAACTTACATGACTAACTAGACTCTGATAGCACTAAGTGACTTATAAGATGAAATATATTCGAAATATAGATAATTCTTGTTTATAGATATGAATAAACCGCGACTAACTATATATCACTATGGTATCATTCACTTACATGGAGTTTTTCGAATACTTGTAAAATAATAAATTAGTTCTCATAAAAATCTTCGTACTGATAACTTTTACAGCTGTCTCACATAACTTACTCACTCATTTTTACTTTGTTTTTTATTTTTTTTTTAATGATCCCTTATCAATCATAAAGCAATATGGTATTTATATCAATTCATCAAAACATGTATTTTACATTTGTCACATTATGAAAAAAAATCTATTACGTTTATACCTGTTTTTTTTTTGTATAAGAAAAATTCCAATGGAACTGATTGGTTTAAGAAAAAAAAGAAACAAAATATCTCAAACGTTAAATAAAATGTCTTGCAATATTCAATTGTTCATTGCTGTTAAAAACCAAAATGATATCTAAAACAAAATCTTATGACTTTCGTCAATTTTCTATCTAGAATAAAATTTCAAATTCGATAAACACATATAAATATGCTTGATGACCAGTGAAAACGATTCAAAAAACTTGACAACATCAAAAAAAAAATAGTACACGCATATATTTAACAAAGATTCAAGGGTGAGACTTGTGAGATTTATGATATATGTCATAGAATAGATTTCAGTTTTTTTTTTTTATTGACTTTTTGCATAGGAAGATAGTAGTTGAACAATACTATCAAAACCGCGTTGTTTAGCTATTTGAATTGGTGTCATACTACGATTATCACACCATGAGATGTCAATATTACCATTGTCTAATAAATAATGAACACAATCAATAGAATTATAATTTACAGCCTAGGAAATAAAATAAAAGATAATCAATTTCATAATAAAATAACATACAAAAATAATTTACCAATAAAAGTGGTGTTCGACCGTCATAATCAGTTTGATCAAGATTCGCTCCTGCTTTATGCCATGCTATTAATCGATCAACTTCATTATGTTTAACACAATTACATAAATACATTCCAATTTCACTTGGTTTTAATGTTGCTGTTAATTTTGCACCATTACGAACTAATAATTCAATCATTGCTTCATTTTTTTGAAGAATAGCATAAAAAAGTGCTGTAAAACCAACTTGATCAGGTTCATTAACAATCGGATTTTCATTATTAGCAATACGCAGAAGTAAATCAGCACATTTTATTGCACCATATTTAGCGCAAACATGAAGTGGCATCGAACCACATGGTAATACTATATTAAATTTAATACCTGTTTGAGTTTTTTGTATATGATTTAGAGTAGTTATATCATCCGTTTGAGCACATGTTGCAATTAACCACGGTAATAATGATTGACGAAATTGAGCCGATTCCTTAGATAAGTAAATAAAACAACAACAAACTTTTTGGGATACAAAATTATAGAAATAAATAAAAACCTTATTCGATTCATCATTGGTTGCATTTAATATCCAATCAAGACTTATTGTTGGACATTTTAGTTTGCTCGAATCTGTAGACATTTCACCTCGTAAATTTTCAGCCATTTTCATTTTCATTACTTTCATATCCGATGAATATTTACCAAGGACATATGATAACTAAATATAAGGAAAAAAAAAATTCTTTTTTTTGTTATATGAAAATTTATATTATTCACTTTCATCAAAGCAGCTTCAATTGTCATGTCCGATCCTACACAAACGCCTATTTTTTGTAATGATGTTGCACTTTCATACGCATAACAAACATTTCCTTTTGCACACTGTGTACAATTAACAATAAGAACACCACGTTCAGCTGCTTTACGTAATTCTTCAATTAAATCTGGTCGATTTGTTGGTAAATTTCCTGCTCCATATGTTTGTAAAACAACACCTTGAATTGGTGGTTCAAGAAATTGACGCACTGTTAAATATGTTATACCAGGAAAAAGACGAAGAAGTGAAACATTTCGGTTTAAATTTGTATGAACATTAAATGGACCCTCAGATGATCGATCAAAAAGTAAATCCCATTTAACTAAAACAAAAGACAAACTATATTTGGATTAGTTCAATAGAAAAAAAAATGTAGTAATTGATAAAAGTTTTCCACCTCCGTATTTCAGCTACAATACATGCTGAAGGCATGAAAATTTGTATGTACATGTTTAATTGAATATTCTGTTTCGGAATGTCTCTTAGTTCTATGTACTCGGATGACATTTTCATTTAGTAGAAAGTTCTCTCATGAAATTTGTAGGTAATCATGTCAAAATACAGACAAAACTTACGTAGAAGTTTCAGTTCAATTAACTGAACTATGACTGAATTATCGTTTTCAATGTCTAACAGATAGTTTTTCCTACTCAAGTATACTACAAAATAATGACGAACGAGTCCATTCATAAAGTTCTTCTTTTTTAGACTTATGAAATTAACAGAATCAATAGATGCAATCCCTTATAATTCTTGTTCCATTTAAACAATTGCGGTAAACCTGTACTATAGATTAGCATTCTTAGTAGAGTGTGTTGACGCAAATTTTCCGACTATCAGCATGTATGATAGTGGAGATACAGGGGACGGAGGAGGATTTTGCCTACTAACGTGGGTTGTACCTTGAATTTTAGTTCGAAATTCTGCCAATGTCGGAAAATTATGTGAATCAAATGCATTTAAACCTTCACAATCGATTTTTGTTACACGATTCCCTCGATAAAGTCGATTTCGAAAATAAAGAGTAACCTTAAAATATTCAAATAAAATACTTTATTATTTTCTTGTTTTTTTAACGTAAATAACCTCTGGAATATGATATTGTCCTGCAATGAGTAAACTTCCAATAAGATTGTCTCGACCATCACTTCGTGTCTCGAATATTGGGATCTAAAATAGAATGATAATATTATTTTGAATATTGAACATGATCTATTTCACTTACTTGTGAACCTGTAAGTACAATTGGTTTTGAAAGATTTTCAAACATAAATGAAAGAGCTGCTGCCGTGTAGCTCATTGTATCAGTCTATTTCAAAATTATAAATTAATCATTATTTATTGCATTATTTATTGCCTTACACCATGGAGGACTAAACATAACAAAAACAAAAAAAAAAAAAGAAATTTACTTTCAATAATTCATTATTAACTTACTGACAAATCCATCGAATAAATTATAAACTTCCTTAATGAAAAGAAAAAGAATCAAATATCAAGAAATTGTTTCCTTTATTAAAGTTTTCTTCTTGCTTTAATATCAAGTGCAATATGAATATAATTATCAAATGTCATATTCGCTGAGTCAAGTAATGGAATATATTCTTTAATATAATATGCAATGCATTCTTCATTTGCAAGTCTAAAAAAATGGATAATTGCATAAAATTTATTCTTAGTCATATATGAAAACACTTAACGGTAAATAAAGAAAAGATTTTTCAGGATCAATTTCATTCATTGTTTCGGCAAATTGAATATCATGCATAATATTCATACTACGTAGTGCAGCAAGTAAATAATTTGCTACAGGTTCATATGCATTACGTAAAACTTTCATACCAATTGTACCACCTAAAGTAACAATAAGTTATTCTTTATTTTTGTTCTTTTTTGTGAGGGAAGGGGTCGAGAAAGTACAATGCAAATTAAAAACGAGCTAATGCGAACCTGTATAAAGGACAAGTACTTTTGGAATTGTCAGTTTCAATAATGTCTGTTGAGTTTGTGCATCTAATAATGTTATATGTCTTAAAGGCATATCATTCGATGAAGGTCTCAAATTTGATGGTGAAAATAATTCTACAATCGAATTAGAAGACATGTATTTTATACACTAGAATAAGAAATAAAAGAATTCTATGATCGATTTTCTTTTATTTTCTTCTTTACACATAAAAAATGCAAGGGATCTTTATTTGGTTTTTTCTTTGGTATACTGGAGGAAGTTTATATAAAAAATAGCCAAAAATAGTTGATATTAAAAAAGAAAAACAATACAGGAAGTATCAAATCGATATTTTTCTGCTAGAAACATTCATGCATATGATGATGATGATGATACGCTATTAACGAATGCTTGACACTGATCTTTCGACTTTTTATAGAAAGATGTTTCTTTTTTTTTTTATGTTCTAGAGTTAATACTGAGAATGACAATGCAGAGATAAACGAACATAAACACACAACACGAAGAATATAAAAGTAGGAAACGAGAAAACAAACAATGACAAAAACACATTCCATGCCTAGCGATGTCTTGCAGTCAACCAACAAGTGTACACACACAAAAGTAAATTAAGAAAAAAGAGAACGTCTAGCACTTAATTCCACCTTTCATATTTTTGTTTCAAGAAGAAAAGAAAAGAAAAACAGTTTAGAAGATATTGTCTAAAAAAAAAAGATTTGATTGAACATATATGAGTAGAATAAATGTTCGTCGTGGTTATTGCTTAAGGTTTTTTCGCTTTATTTGGTAATTTTGATGTGACTCTAGAATATCCATATAAAATAAATTACAATTATACATCTATTTTAAATAGACTTACTTAGCTAAAAGTTGATTAATTTGATCAAGTACTTGCTTAGCAGTACGATCAATTGGTACCTAATAAAGAGAAAAAAATATTTAAAACTATGATTAAAAAATAATCAATACTAACTTGATATACTTGATAAATTTTTGGTACAGTAAATAAGAAAATTAAACCAATAAGTGCAAATGTTAATGCATTCATTGATAAACCAATATAGAAAAAGACAAATAGTATAAGACCAAACTAAAATTAAAATATAAGAAAATTAAATTTACAAAAAAAAAAGGTTTATATTCATAAATATTATTTACAAGAATTGAATTTGTTAAATTTTGCCATAAGAAAAGATTTCTTCCATGTTTTAATAGACTTGTTCCATTAACACGAATATTATGAGCCAAATCACGAGCCTGTTGTTCTGAGATAGATATATCAGATGGAAACATTGAACTAAATATTAAAAAAAAACAAACAATTGATTAGTAATTTTAAGATGTTACATCTTTTCTTACTCGAGTATGTCATCCTGAGCACGTCCAACGAAGGTCACCATGACATAATTATACAATTGGTAGAGACCAGAGACTACAAGCAATGCAAGTAACCAAAACGAAATGGCTGCCAATGATGACAAAAACATGAATGTTATTATAACAGATAATGAAACACCCAAAACAAGGCCAGATTGAATTGGATTTCGCCAATAAATAAGATTATTAGCTAAAAATCGAAAAAAATATACTTAAAACAAATAAATAAATGTTTATTTTTGTATTTTTTATACCTGATTTTGGTACCATTTCACTAATCCTTTTTCGTAGTCGAGCAAGTGATTGACGAGTATGATCCCCTAAAACAAATAAAGAAAGCAATACTTGGTTCTTTGCCAATGGGAATATATAATCTCATGAATTTTCTGTTTTTTCTTCTCGTTCGTCACAATAATAGAACGAAGAGGAAAAAAAACATCAATAGACCCAGTCCGAAGTACATCTATCATCATCCATAGACTTTTTTCTTTCTTGTTTCCCTTCTTTTTCTTCTTCGTGCTCGGTTCTCTTTTTTTTTTTGTTCTTTTCGGATCTTATATGAGCAATAGAGAATGATGGTGACGACGAAATTACTAAAGGGAAATCATGATGAATAGCACGCGCACAATTATATTTAGAATGATCTGTCATTTGGTTGTTTGCAAGTTTGATGAAAGAAGAGTATGTGCACTAATACATTTCTTTCACTAGAGAATATTCTGTAGATTTACTAAATCAGATTTGATATATGGAAATTGACGTCATGTTCGACGACTACCAAACCACATACTAACTAATGAAAACGGGAAGAAAAGTTGTCAACGATAATCTATATGCAATGCGAGAAAAAAAAGTGGTGAAAGTTATCTTTTGTCCATCTGTATCAAATCCCCAGACTAATCTTCTTTAGTTGTGTAAAAAGAAATTTGTCTATGTGACTAAGTAGAATTGGATCGAAACAGATCAAAGACTTAGAAACTTTGACAAAGTCTAATATATTTAACTTACAATGTTGTTGCATGAGTTTTTTTGCCTTTGAAACAATTGTTTCAGTAGATTGTTGACCTTTTTGAAATTCCGTTCTGCCTTTTTGAACAACAGAATCAATAACTGCATGAAAATTTGGATTTGTTGAATTTACTGTTGGTGTTTCATCATTATCATTAGCTGGACTTGTATTGAAAACACCTGTTGTTGAATCAGCATTATAATTGTTAGTATCCATTATGAAAAAATTTCGACGCTTTCAAAATAGAATGATATATATATATATATATCTAAAAACATAAAAACAAAGATCAAAGTCTTCGGTTATCGATGAGTCACAATATTCATGAGAAAGAAAGAAAAAGGTAGACGAAGCATATATACAAAGTGCGTCCTAGTCAAACTTCAGTGAAACTAATGTGGACGAGTTATGAAACACGAAAGAAGAGAAAATGATTCTTCGAGCACGCATCACTACATCATCCACTATACCAACACGGCGGACGGAGTATTCTTTTGCTTCGCTTCATCTCTCTCTTTCTGTCTATTTTATTGTTGGTTGGTAAAGCTGCACGTCGATATTTCTCTTATTAGCTACTAAAAGTCGGAGCACACGCACACACACACATATATACAAGATCGATAAAAAGACAGACAAAGGCAAAAAGACAGAAAGAAAAAGGAAAATGTAATCATTACATCTCTGTCTTGTGTCCAGTTTTGCAACATGAGCAATTCTTATAATAATATGTGCATTTGATAAAAAAAAAATCGAACGAGACATAACTGCGCAAATATATATATGTCAATAAAACTGAGGACACGCTGAAATTGAATCTTTTTCTTCATATTTTCAATGTATACTGGTTGTTCGATATTAAGATGAATGATTACATATTTATAAAATAATTATTTTTTTTTTTTTTTTGCATTATCAAAACTGTAAAAAGATACGCAATAAGTATAGTCTTGAATCGAATCTTCGAGAAGCATTTAAGAATGATAAACAAATAGAAGAAGATATAAAACGATGAGCAGTAATATTTTTTTTTATCTAACTCAACTTCAAGTAGGTAACTAAAGCATCGAACAACAAACACACTTAATGACATCGAAATTTCGTACATGATCAAACTCTTGACTTACTCAAATGGCATACAGAAAAAAAATGAATCTCTTAATAATTCGTCCTTTTAAATGGCTTTTTGGGTAGTTTTTTTTTTTGATTGAAACGTCTGTAAATAAATATCTCAAAGGTGACTTTGCTGATAAATATGTGCACGTCTATGTCACACTTTTACCATGTGGCCGAGACGTCTTACAATGAAATATGTATTAAGTCCAAGGTATTTTCATGACAAACAACAAAGTCTGAATCATATGTCTTTCAAGAACATAATAATAACAATAAAATTTGCTTGTCTGAGTGTAGTTTAGCATCCAATTCGATCTTGCAAATAAACTATATCTAATGATTTACATTTATGTAATGTGTGACGCATATTTACTAAGTATACAGCAGCCAATAGGAAGTAGCAACACTAAGATTCGAAGATTGGCAATCTAAAATTATAATTTAGATGTCGCAAAAGTAATAATTTTATTTACAAAATATTCAGATATTCTAAAATATATATTTATAATCTTGATTAATAGAAAACTAGACTAAAATAACTAGAATGGTTCAATTATGTTGGACATTGCTTAGCAACTTACATATACAAGATGTCTATCATGTTCTATCAAAAGCAAAGCAAAGAAAAGAAGAATGGTTACTTGAATAGAAACAAAAGAAAAAGGAAAAAAATCGATCGAAATTTTTTACCTAAACTTTGACATTTGTGTTGTTTTACTTAAAACTTTTGTATTTTTTTATTAATCATGACTGTAAATTTAACTTCGGAATCTGCTAATTGGATTTTACCATCTCTTCCAACCACGTTGCCATCAACAACACCGAATTATGAAGAATCTTTACCAATTCGTGTTAATAGAGAAGGTGTTGCAAATTATATTAAAAATCGTGGTACTTTAAATTTCGGTCAATGGGCGGCTCAAGATAGAAGAATGTCAACATCAGCAGGTACAAAACCAACAGATGATCAGTTCAATAGTTTTCCAGTACCACCACCCAAAATAATTGGACCTGATGCAACACGAAATTATATACGAAGTCGTAGCTCAACACCAAATCTTATTTATGGTAATCTTGAACCGCCTAATCCTCACCATCATTTTCGTGTTAAAAAAGAAGGTCGTGCTAATTATGAAAGAAATCACAATTCACACATGAAAGCATTATTAGAAAGCTATGGAAAATTACCTTTACCTACACAACCAATACCTCATACACAGGGCGAAGTAAAATTTTAACTAAATTATATGTAAGAAGAATTTATATTGTTATCTTTTTTTTGTTAGATGGCTACTAACCTCTTTTATACACATCAAAAAGGTCAAATGCGTAAAATTTTAAATAATTATGGTCATGTTACGCCGTCAGCAAAACCCGTATCACATGTAAAAGGTGATGCAGCTGAAGTTAATTTACAAAAAGGTTATGGTCATTCACATCTACTTGAGCATAGTATTGATAATCGTCCACCATCAGTTGAACCACACGTAAAAGGTATTCAAGCTCATTTAAATTATGACATGGGACATGGTCGTTTTGTTGATAAACTTTTTCATGAGTATGGCAAGTTACCACAATCTGCTCGAGCTCCACCAAAAGTTAAATTTGATGGTGTTCAAAATTTTGTTAAAGGTCAAGGTGATGCAATGCGTAAAACAATATCACAATGTCCACCATCAAATCGTTATCTCGAACGACCACAATCAGTACTATCATGATCTTAAAATGTTATTTTTTTTTGATTTATCTACCATTTATTTTGTATTTATAATGGATATGTGTTAGTCTTTTCTTTTATTCGTTAAGAAAAAGAAAGATTGTTCTTCCACATATTTAATTTTATCATTAAAATTGAAAATCTTATTGATTTTGATCTTTTTCTGTTGTTTTCTTATTTTAGAGATGCAAGAACAAGAACGTTTTGAACGTTATACACCACAGTTTCCGTTACCAGTCGATATAACAAGCATGTCTCGTCAAGATACTGTGTGCCAATTTTGTGGTGTTTCTTATTTAATTCATAATGAAATAAAAGCACTCGAGACTAAATGTCAAAAACTTGAAGCAGATTTAGCTTATTATGCTGGTATAAGTTCTCGTGAAGGTGCCCTAGAACAATTATTACAAACTGAACGAACACGTATTTCTGATCTCGAATCGACTATATCCATTAAAACTCATAAGTATTGTCTTACAATCTCATTTGTCTCTTAAATATCTGTTTGTTTCGTTTGCTTCTTGTAGACTCAATGAAATGACAAGAAAACAACAATTAGCACAAGATCAATTAGAACAATCCAAAATTGCTCATCAAGAAACAAAGTATAAGCCATTTTTTATTTAATATTACTATGCATGAAATATTTATTAATTTATTTTATCTAATTTTTAAAGATTGGCATATTCACAATGTACATTCAATATACGAGCAACATTTCATCAAATACAAAATATTCGAAAAGAACATTCATTATTAAAAGATCTCTACTCAAAAGAAATTCAAAATTGGAAAACATTTTTTTCAAGCACTGAAGCGACACTTCAAAAAGGTATTAACATAAAGGTATTCGAATTAATTATTTGTTTTCTTAAAAATTGAAACAACAGAAATACAAACAATCATGGATAAATACACTAAACAAATGAATAATCATCGAATAGAAATTCAAGGATATCAACAACAAGTCAAGTAGGAATAACTTATGTTCAATGAATTAGAAAATTTTCTTCACTTATTTCTCTAGTGAAACAAATAAATCTTTACGAGATTTTCAAATTAAATATCAACAAGTACAACTTGAATCAAAAGAATCCAATACTAAGTATGAAACTTGTTTGTTTAATATTTGTATGCATTGATCTTTAAATAGAATACAGAATGATTTAGAAGCAGCTCGAAAAGAAATCCAAATTAATCAAAACGAACTTTCACGTTTACATCAACAAGTATCACAAATCGAACAAACTCGATTACAGTTACAAAATGAATTAGAACAAGTAAAACAACGATGTCGACAATTAGAACAACAAATATCAGATAAAGATGAGTCAAAAAGAAATGCCGATCTTCTCATTAATCAATATCGACAACAATTAACAAATGAAAAAGAACTACGAATAAGTAAATTTTTTTGATTAGTTAAATTTAGTACATATGGTATAATCATCATCAAACTTTTATTTATTTATTTTTTTTTATAGAAACTGATTCTGAATTAGAAAATGTTCGATCAAAACTTGTTAAATTAACAAATGAGTATGAAGACTTGAATACAGCTAAAAAAGAATTTGAAACAAATGAATTGAATACTCGACGAAAAATAGATGAAGTTAGTCGATCACGACAAGCTATTCTTGATCGTACAAGAGATGAATATGAAAAATTACTAAGAAAATATAATGATCTCGATGAAGTTTATCGTGAACTTGTTAATATTCGAGAAAAAAATACTTGTAAGAATCTATTTTAATCGATTCAAATTTATACAAATCAAATCTTCTTTTTTTTTCCTTTTTCTTTCAATTAATGCAGTAGAATCTGAAACAATTCGCCGTGAACTTGAACGTTTACATAATGAAAATATTGAACTAACTAAACAACGTGAAACACTTAATATCACACATGATATTCAAATTAAAAAACTTCATGATACTTATGCTATTAGATTACAGGAAGCTGAACAATGGCCTGATCGTTTTCAAACAGATTTAAATCATCAACGTGAACAACATCGAATACAAATGATGGAACTTGAACGTCAACTTAAAGAAAATTTTGCTATTGTTAGTAAATTTAATTATTTGAAAATTACTGCAGTCAAACGCGAAAGCATATTAAGTGCATCTCTATGCATGAATCATTATGAAATTGCATGTGTAGGAATGTGTCACAGAGTAAACTATACTCACATTTACATGCACTCAGTATTGCGCATGTATAAACTTAATATTGTTGGTGTACACGAGGACATAAAAATGCTTCTGTAGAGAAGCCATACCTATACCAGCAAAACAATTTTGTAATGATCAGAAAACGAAGCACATATAGTAAACATAGATGAACACGCAAGAGGTTTTTTTTTCCAGAGATAAGATTCGAACATATATTCTTTGCTTTATCAGGCGAATTTCTTCATCATTCGATGATCTACTTACATTAGAAGTGTAATTAAAACTGAAAGATATAATAATAATCATCTGATAACTAATAGGCATGTATGAATATGAAAACTAATAATTGTTCATAAGTACCGAAAATCGAATAATGTTTTTGAACTAATATAGTGTATATATTTGAAGGCAGTTGCATTTCAATGACAACTAAATAAACAAAAAGCGGAGAAAAAAAAGTAAATTCTTGCATGGAACAGCTTGCATATTGCAAAATAGCAAAGTTTTGTATGCTGATGCAGAATCAGTTTGATAATAATTTTCGTTAATATGACCTTTTTGCATTAACGTGCAGAATTTAGCAACATTCTACTTATGATGCACGTACACACTAATGACACTAGTATTTACATGCGGGTCATATGCAAGGTGATCTAAAAGTCACCGGGCAGCTTTTGATTGTGATTAAATTTTGATAGAAATAAGAAAGAGAGCTGCAGTTTTCACTGTTGGAAGGAAGAAGTTTATAGGCATTGAAGCATATAAAGAAACAAAATAGTTCAAAATCGTTTTGAAGAGGGGTTTTTAAAGAACCAAAATTTTTAGAAAATTGAAGTTTTCGAAATTCTAATAGTGCTTTGAAATTTGAGTACTTCAATGTGTTTAATGTTGGTTTTTCAAAAATCTCTCAAAAATAAAAACTATGAATATTATGTTTCTTAAATAACTTAATGCCCTCAATTTTCTTCTTTTCAACAGTGAAAACCAAAGCTCTCTGTCTTGTTTCTGTCAAAAATTAAGCGTAATCAAAAACTGCCTAGTGACTTTTAGACCGCTCTGTATGTTGCATAAGCATGTAAGAATGTTGCATGCAACTATTTTCAAGGATAAGAGTCATGTACAGTCTGGCATGTTTTGCATAAAAATTTTTAAAAATGTATTTTCATGTATGTATTCGCGACATGCAAGTCTATGCGTGTGCTATCATTGTACATGTATATGGAATAATTGCAAATACTTGAAATACGTAGATGTAATCTACGTCTATCAGATGCAACAACTTGAAAGAAATTTTTCTGTAAAAAGATACATTTTTTAATGTTCTCGCGTTTGATTGAAACCCAATGACTAAAATATGTTTAGGAATTAGATATTGAAAAACAAAAAACAAGTGGTCTTTTACGTAAATATGAACAAGATAGTGATCATTCAACACAAAAACTTCGATATGAATTAATTTCAACTGAAAAAGTATCTATTGAACAACGACAATATTATGAACAACAAATTGAGCAACTTCAACGAGATAAAAATGATTTAAAAAAAGAATTAGATACATTGAGAGATGTTTTAAAAGAATTACATGACCAAACTAGTAAGAAAAAAAAAATAATAATGATTGAGAAGGATTTTTCAAATATACTTTTGTGTAGATAATCAACACGCAATAAACAATGATCGAATAAATCATTTGCAGTTAAAAGAAGATTTATTAGCGAAAGAAACAAATCTTTTTCAAGCACAATCAACTATAAATGAATTGAAAAAAGAATTAGAACAAGCACGAGAAGAAGTAATTGATGTATTTATGGAAGAATAGTGTTTCATTCTTTTTTTCATGATATAGATGATAACTTTACAAGAAACTGTACATAAAGAATGTACAGAACGTGAACAATTAAAAGATGCACTTATCGAAGCACGTCAACAATTATTAACAATGAAAAAAAATGGTATGAATAGACGAAAATATCTAGTTGAATTTGTTATTATTATTATTATTATTATTACTATTATAGGTGTTCTCAATGGGAAGACGGATCGATCTCTTCATTCTCCACCGGTGGCTTTTGAAGAAATCGAACGACGCATCTCTGGTCCTCTTCCATTTTCTCATTCACAAAATCAACAATACTCATCTATAGTTCATAACCAAAATACTTCCTTCATTCAATCTGAACCATCAACACATGATAATAGTTTACCTGGTGATACTGCTGATTTGATGGCTCGACCAATGTCATCATCTCATAGTGTACCATATCGTCATAAAACTTTGCCACCTATTTATCCACAACAGCAACAACGTCGCAATGGAAGTATTCCATCAACAAATAAAACAGAGCAATTACTGGAAAATCAACGACGAATTGCTCGCTTTATTAAACATATTAAATAAATCGATATATTCGAGCTTATATCATCAGATCAAGAAATTCGAGCTTTACTTTTGATTGTTTATTTTTTCGTCATATTTCATCGAGCTTATCTTTTTTTATTTGTTTATTTTTTGTTTCACTCATTGCAAAGGAGCTTTGTTTTTATTTTTGATCTAATTTATATTCTTATAATCTCATTACTGGGTAATCTCTTCTAATGGTTGTTGTTTTCTTTTTTGTGTACTCTCATTAATCCTCAACCTAAGTCGCTGTGAAATATTGTAATTTATGATTGTCAGTGTTCCAATAGATAATTCTTCTCAATATATAAGCAATCTCTAAATTCTATTAATTTTATATTAGTAATCTGGTGTACATCAAATTTCATTAATACAAATAACTCTTTGATTCAAGTTTCATGCGTTAAATAGTACACGCACAGCACCAAGAAACTTTTTAGTGCCTCAGATACATGAAATGAAATCATACTTGATGAGTATAAAGCATCTTGTTAGAGCATATTACAATTTGACATGATGACACATTACCTTGCTAATATGAAATGATTATTTTGTAAATATATTTGTTAACAAAAAACAAAGTTGAATGGTATCAATAGGATTAAATCAAATAGATTATAACTGTATTGAGGGATTGACATACACAAAGATTTTTTTTTTCTCTATTAGAAGATAACCTTTTCAACTAAGATGATAAAGTACAAATGCAATGATTGTTTTTTTTTTCAATTTGTTATTATTGCAAATTTGACTAGGTGAAAGCGTTTCTTTCAATGTCATCTTTACTTCAATCTGCCATTGTTAAAGCTTACTGGCGTTTATTACCACTTCTATTTCTTTCATATATAATTGCTTATGTTGATCGAAATAATGTTTCATTGGCTAAACTTAAAATGATTAATGATTTACCTTCATTTCAACATCGAACAGAAACTATATTTGGTCTTGGTCAGGCAGCTTTTTTTATTGGCTATCTACTTCTTGAAATTCCTGGTACATTATTAGTTGAAAAATGGAGTGCACGTAAATGGATTTGTCGTATCATGATCACTTGGGGTATTTTAGCTTCATTAACAGCCATAGTCACGCAACCATGGCATTTTTATTTAATTCGATTTTTACTTGGTCTTGCCGAAGCTGGTTTCTTTCCAGGTGTTATTGTCTATTTAACTCATTGGTTTCCAGCACAAGCAAGAGCTCGAGCACTTTCTTTATTTCTTATTGCTACACCAATTGCTCAGTTCATCAGTCCAAAAATATCCTATTATATTCTTCGTATGGATACCATCGAAAATGGTATTTACTATAGAACATTATTTAAACTTAAAGGTTGGCAATGGATGTTTATTGTTTGGGGTGTACCATCAGTAATACTCGGTATTATTGTTTTACTTTTTTTGACTGATCGACCGAAAGATGCAAATTGGTTGAGTGAGGAAGAACGTCGAGTACTGGAAACAGAATTAGCACTTGAATTAGCACATCGACAAGCTGCTGGTGGTCATTTAACATTACTACAAGCTTTACGTCATATTAAAGTACTTCTTCTTGCGATTGCTTATTTTTTTATTGTAACAGGTAATTATGGTGTGGAACTCTTCTTACCAACTATTCTACTCGATTGGTATCATCCAAGTGATGGTCTTCTTACATGGTTATTAATGATTCCACCATTTGGTGCTCTTATTGGAATGTTAATAATTGGATTTAGTTCAGATCGAACTAAAGAACGACGTTTTCATGCTGCTATACCTATTCTTATAGGTGCAATTGGACTTGGTTTAACATTAATCCGACAACAACCACTATTTACAATGATTATTCTTTTTACAGTAACATCGATTGGTACGAAAGCTTATTTACCAGCATTTTGGTCATTACCAAGTTTATTTTTAAGTGAATCAGCCGCTGCTGGTTCTATTGGTCTCATTAATTCAATTGGTAATCTTGGTGGTGGTGTTGGACCTATTCTTTTAGGTGTCTTCAAAGATCGTACTGGATCATTTTTTTTTGGTATTCTGTTTTTGTCTATATCGATGTGTGTGACATCTGTGATTATTATGGCTCTTCGTTTCGATCGACATCATCAACAAGAACGTCAGAGAAACACACGACAACTAACTATGTCAAAAATAAATGATATATCGATAACAAATACAAAAGAAACAGAAAAAAGTACGACACTCTAATGATCTCTAGTTTTTTTTTTGTAGAACTATCAAGAAAAATCAAACATTGATTTCTATCATCATAATATGATTATCTCAAAAAGAATAATTCTCATACTATCGACTCTCATGTAAAACTAATTCTGTTGCAAATTTATTTTTTTAATATCGTTCATTGATTGTTTAATGAACACATCTAAATAGAAATTTTAATTATCACTATTGCTTTCTTTGTTTTTAATCTATACTTTCAATAGAAAATAGAAACCTATCTCTATATAGTTCATTTATTTTCGAAATAATATACATATTATAAAATTGCACGAATGTATCATGATTAAAACAACAATTAAAAGAATTATATTAACGAACCACATATAAAACCGAACAAAACAATTATAACTATCACGAAACATCAGCACAAAATGAACATATTAATAATAAACAAGCAAACTGAGTCAAGGTCGAGAAAAAGAAAAGGAATGAAATTAGAAAACAAAAAAAAAAGAATTCACAAGGATGAGATGAACTAGTACTGAATCTGATATATGGAATAAAAAAAAACGATAGTAATAACTGTTAATAAAAATAAGTGTTTTTTTTCTTTTATATCAATAAATACAAATAAATCTCTCTTTAATCTTTGTTAACAAACTTTTTATTATGACTTCTTGTCACGTGTTAACAGAAATAAATTTTTCTCCTTTAATAGAAACAAGTAAATGGCTTGAATCTTTTGTTAAATAAAGATAATTGATTTATGTTCGAAGACCAGTGGCTTGCATTGTTGTTGCTTTTTAATAATAATAATAAAAAATAAATTGATGATGATTCTTTTGTTCATTTGGAAGTTGTACTATGATCAACAACAAGTATAATACATTAATAACTTAAAACTATATTAATAAAATGAATTTCAAATTTTCTTGTACAAATAGGATAATTATTATTTGAATATAAAAATAAATGTGTCATTATCATTTTTCAAATGAAACACAAACACATGTTATTTCAACAGTATGACCATAGAATGTCTT